ATATTTTTATTCAGTATTCAATGAGTTTTAAAACAAAATTTAAATTCAATTCAAATCAATGCTCGTCCATTGATATGTATAAAAATTCATTCAACCATATGAATAGCTTAAAAAAAACCTTTTGCGATCCCGTAAAACAAAAAGTAACTAACAAGTTGGTTTCAATTTATTTAACTTAATTAATATCCTAGCATAGGCGATAAAAAAGTATGAAGCATCAAAAAGCAATAGAAGAGTAAAACCGTGTTTATTTTGTATCAAATAAGTCTTGTGTGAGTCCTCACAATTGACCTTTTTTAAATATTCGCCAGGCTAATATTCCCGATCACAAAAAGATAAAAAAAATTCAGATAGCAATCAAACATCAGAATGATGAAAGCAAAAACAAAAGTTGTAATTAGGTCAGAGCGTTCGTGACGAAACCTCGATATGAAGCAACTCTGAGGCGCACTTCACTTCTCATTTAACCCTCGTCTTCATATCTCTCCTCGAGCATGTTCTACGTGTACATGAAATTAATGCTACTTTTACCAATTTTCTGAATACCTCCTAAAGTATTTTGTAGATTTAATTACTTGTATAAATGCTTTATACCTCTGCTTGCGATCGAGCTTTAATTTTTTAGAAAATCAATTTGAAATCATGAATAAATATTTGAGACAAACTTATTCCATTATATTAATAAACTTTATTAAATATTAAAAACCACGTGTTTAGTTTTAAGGCTGGTTTAGAAGATTATTTTAAGACGTGTGGTAGAGCTGCTAGCTTTACACAAGATCAAAGTGAATTATTAATATCTCGAGGGCTGTTGGTGTTCGCTTATTTACTAGGGTATTAATTTGTTTCTTCATTTTAAAGCTGATGTTTTGAAGAGTTCTCTTTATTTGAATGTTAATTTTGTTCGTAAACTTCTAGGGATGTACAAATCATACATACATTTAAATCCTTCCATACTTAACTTTGTACTTAGTAGTTTTCATTCTCACTTTAATACCTCATTCTGAATTTGTCTAAGTGCTTTACAAGATCACGTTACTCGAAAACCCAACAGACTAAACTTGTTATTCAAGGCAAAACTTTTTACTCAACAGTAATTTTTTTACTCCTTTATTTCTGTTTTACACTTTTCCTCCATTCAAGAACATGAACTCTGTATGTATGGTTGTTAACCAGGTGCGGCTAAAACCACAAAATTCTTAGTGAAAAGTGAATTTGTTTCCTTAACTTGAAAAACTTTTCTTAAAAAGTAATTTTGTGACTTAAACTTTTATATATTTTTTTCTTTACAAAGTTCATCAGAGCTCGTGATCTATTTAAAACTTTATCTTTTCCTCTTAACAGTCTAAGTACTTTTCACTGGGCTATATAGTTTTCTCAAAATCATAAACATAAAATTTTAAATTTCAAACAGCAAAACGTAGTTCTTACTGTTAACTTAAAAAAGGAAAAGTACTTCTTGTTTACGATAAAGAAAAATAATTTGAATTAAGTTTTAATTTACAATTATGGCATATTAATGTTTTGATTTTATTTAAACTTTAAAATAGAATAACAATTCAGGCGGATAATAATAATTAAGAAATCCATAGCTAACGCTGGGAAAAAAAAATTAACACTTTAAATTTAATCAGATCCTGGTTTAACCTTTTAAAATTGATAACATTTTTTTTTTTTTTTTTTTTATGTTAAAGGTGGCAAACGAGCAGACGGCCCACTTGATGGAAAGTGGTTACCGTCGCCCATGGACATCCACAACATTTTGTTGCGGATGCGTTGCCAACATTGTTTTTTGGCCATAGGGAGGGGTGGGAATAAGGAAATGAAGGGAAAGGGTAGGAATGGGGAAAGGGCAACCGGCTCTCTCACTCATCAGACGAAACGCAGCCGGTAAAGGCTACTTCACGCCGATCTTCTGTGAGAGGGTGGTACTTCCCCGGTCGAGCCAGCCCATGTTCGAGCTGCAGTAACTCACCACAGCTAGGCTCTACCACCTTTAAAACAACATGATTGGATACAAATAAAGTTTGTTATTAAGAATAGAAACATCAAAATATTTTTTTTGTAATATCGCAAAACGATATAAAAATATCGAACAGTATAAATTAATTTCAGTTCTTCCAAAAAATGATCAATGTGCCTTCATAAACCTTGGTATCTTATTCCGAACACGAATAATTTTAAAGTTTTCTAATTATATCAATAAACATAACCGTGTCAATAAAAAATAATTTATTCTGCTATAAATTACAAACCGTCTCCTATACATCAAAAGTACAATAAAGAAACAATTATCGAATATAAAATGGAAAATGTCAAAGGGGTAAAACAATAATCCGGCCGGACATAGAACAATTAGAGAAAAGGTTGGAACCTAAAAGAGAATTGAATGAAAACACTCAAAGAGGAGCAAACAGAAAACGAACCACAGTCGCAGACAGTTTTTTCATTGACCCGTCATTGCTGTGGGATTGGTTTAGACCGCATTCATTTCAATTCTGGAATTTGGATTTATAAATTTATTTGTATTCATGAATATCTGAACACTTTTGATGTAAAATGTACTTTGTAATTTTTTATCCACGACATTTTTCAAATGCCTTATGAAACAAAAAACATTTGCATATGATCTACATTTTTCGATTTATTTATTTAGCGTAATTATATGTGTATTCAGTGTGAATTATCTTTATTTTTTTCAAGGAGTTTGAATCATAATTATAGGGACGTATTTATTCAAAAATAGAGAAAAAGTAATAAAATTTATGTCAACGATTTACTTAAAGAACCCTAAATTTCTACGGGATTTTCGCTTTCTCTCAAAACAAAATGTCGGCCGATGGCAATGGACAGTAAAAATAGACAATAGATGCATTAGTGGAGCAATTTCTTTCTTTGCCGAAATAATGGACTAAAACCAAAAAATCTAACAACGAATTCTCTTGTATATTTACATTTAATATGTCAATGGAATATTTTATTTTATGTAGGAGAATAGTATAATACTATCAAACTTATTATTTTTGTATTTCAATAGAATAACACAGATATAAATTGACGTAGTTTTAAACTCAATTACAAGTTCTAAGAAATCTCGTATGAAACCTTCGATGTTTTTACATACATACTTAAGATATGTTTTCCCAATCATATTCCAATAAATAAACACATTCAAATTTTGTAATAAAAACCATGACTTTATTTTGTACAGTTAACAGGTAGTTCCCATCATCTCTTTCGCAAGTATGACCAAAACGGTTCCGATTTGTGTGTTGCCATCTGGCTTACTCATAAATCTTCTCAAAACCGAAGAACTTCTCAAAAACCTCCCTCCCTGGCAATCACAACAGTTACTTTCCCATATCCTAAATTTTCTTTATACATTTATTTGTTATTGTAATTTAAACTCAAGTTTGCAAGACAGATTTAATACTGAGATCGCATTGACACATTAACTATTTATGTGTTTTTTAAGATGCAAGTGAAAAGTTTTGATTAGGATTTAGTAAGAAAATCTAACAGATTTTACTTATAAAATGTGAAAAAACTGACAACTATTATTCACTTCTCAGGCAGCCTCTTGACAAAATATGTTTCTTTCCATGCTATCTGTAATAAGTTCGTTTTAACATAGAGTATTCTAAAAATGTGATGACATTTTATAGCTGCTTTAGTCTTAAATACTTGGAACCTGCACTTATAAAAAAAATACAACCTTGAATATAAAAAAAAATACAATTTTTATCTTACATAATTTTACGATCATCGTTGCTAAGTTTATAGTTCAAAAAAGGTTTCGTTTCTTTGTTTCTAAAATAGACAAAGGTCAGGGAATCCTTTTAAAAATAAGATATATGTTTTTAAAAGATAATTGAGAGTTTAGGTTGAGGTTGAGGTTGAGTTACGTATTATTCTTTACAACACTTCATATCATAGATAAAGTGTCGTCTGGATTAAAACTCGTTGTAGTAACTTGCATCACCGAGATCTAAAAGTGGTCGGTTTCAAGAAACGATAGTAGATTATTTGGATGCTGCAGTGGATATTTGTAATAACAAAAATTCACGAGTAACACGCACACTTCATAGGGTTAAAGTGGAGATTAAAAGTTATTACCTCATTTCATAACCATGTTTTTGTATACAGTAATATTTATTATTATACATTTTGACTTGTGGGCAGCAATTTTGTGCACATATTTTCCTTAAACAATTAAATACATTTTTTATGGCCAATTACATGAACCAGGATACCAATATCTGATAAAATTTACCGTAGTATATGAAATGATATCGAAGTAGTTTCATAAATTTGCAAACAATAAAAGTATTTTACTGTTTTATATCTTTAGAAGCAAATTTCAAAGTTCCATCCAATCATCGTAGAATATCTAAACGGCCTCAAATATTCATTTAATTTTATAGATGCAAAATAAACGACATTGGATCAAATTTCACTTTTATTTCTCATTTAACTTATTTACGATGAACACAAATGCATTTGACCCGTTTAACGGCAATTAACGCCATTGTGATGCAACGCAGCGGTAATGATGCAAAACCTCGGAATGAGTCTATTGTCTTTCCATGGTACTGTGTGGCTAGCCCGGATTTTGTTAGAGCCTTTTCAGGCCTTTTAATTTTTTATTACCTTTATTTCATATGAATACCAACAACTTCATATTATTCATTTTGCCTAAAGAGACTTAAATCTTAATAGGATGCTATCTTTAGGTAAAACTGCTTAATTAAATTATATTAAATCAGATTTTATTTTAATCCTTACAAATTTGTATCAAGTAACAGTATTTTTTTTTCTTCATTCATTAATCTGAAAGGCGGTGATACGGCCTTGTAGTTTTAATTTAAGATTTATATAAAGTTTTTAATTTACCCAAATATAGAGTCGACTTGGTTGGTTTGAAGCCTTAGAAATGACAGTAACTAAAATTAACAAGTGAAATCCTTGAAGAACTAATATTAATATATATTTTTACAATTTTACATTTCATTACTTATATCTAAATACTTATCAATCCACGATCTATACTTTTCTACATCAGTGAAAACAACGTATTGGTGTGGATCGCATATCGGTACGTCAGATCTTGATAAAGTCTGTGACACGATTCCACGAACATGCCAAGCTCCTGACGCGTTCACACTTTGATCCTGTGCATCATCAGGAATAAACACTTGGAATGCCCCACCACTGTCACCATTGCATGCCGAAGTACCTTCAATGTTAAAATTAAAATGATTTTAATATCTTGTATTTATCACAACCATAGGTGATTCATAATTTTTCGTTTTTGTTCAAAAATGAATGTTATTAGGAATATAGTTATAGATTTAAATACAATGAACTAGTATTATTATTTTTACTGACCATTGTGATATCCACCACAAAATTTATTGCCATTGAGCACTCTTGAATAAAAAACAGCATTACTTTTGATACAAACGACATCTGAAACTAACGGTACATCAGCTTGTCGGAGTTTAAGCGCCAAGTTGTCGGTATTATCAAAACCCCATCCAACGACCTGAAAATAAATAAAGTAATGATCAGTGAGCAATATATGACTGCATATACCTTTACTAATTTCATAATTAATGTTAAGCAGTTTATATACATATAGTCACTCTTATCTTAGATACTATAAGGCTATCTATAAGTAGTATAGATCTGGAAGAAATGTGTGCTTTTTGTACTGTACAGGCATTAAAAGAAGTGATAATTTAATTATTGAATTTATACTTCTTCTTACAATATAATAAATCACAGCGAAATAAAATAAAAAATATTTTATTGCTCACTTTGCCAATTATCTCCCGACCGGCCAATTTTTCTGAAGCTTTGCTGTACCACAAGCAAGCTGGTTGAATGTAGTCAGTAAATACTGCTTCAGTTTTTAATTTCAGCAATGCAATATCGTTGTCCAGCGCTCTTTTATCGTATTGCTCATGAACAATTATCTGATGAATCTAAAAACAAAACAATAATAACAGCTGGAAGTAAACAAGGATATTAATAAAAGTCCTAGTAAGAATATACGACGAACATTTAGAGAAAAAGGCAACAATTTAAAAAATGGAGTGGGAGTTCATTATTAATTTTATTAAAGTTAAAAGTAATAGAAGTTTGTTTAACAACAAAACCTTAACAACATTCGTATGTTCTTTGTACAGTTTAGTTCTTATGAAAGACACTCCTTGTGTATAAAATTTTATTAACGTTCTTTTACACTACCATTTCTACTTACTTCTCTTTCTTCCGAAGCTAAATCCCCACCAATTAAGTTGTATTTACCAAGGACAACACTCAACACTTCAGGTAAAAGGGCAACTCCTCTTATTGATGTACAGTGTGCAGCTAAAATAGTTACATCAATAGTTTATATTCATTAGAACTTGGAAGAATATTTACTAGGTGAGTAAGCGATTGAATTGATTAATTTAATATACCTGTTAACACAAAATATTTAGATATAAGTGTTCCTCCGCAAATATATTTGATTTGTGATCTATCCAGTCTATATATTGCGGTATGCCAGGGCCAGTCACCGGGTTTAGTTGGAGATCCATTGACTATTAATTCTGTGTGCGATACTTTACGTCTACCACAGTTCCCTTCTAACTTACGATTCTGACTTTCTGCATAGTCTTTATATCCCGACAGATATCCATCGAGGAATCCCTAAGCATAATTTGATTGTTTAATTATTATATTCAAGGAAAATGAAATGTCTCATGTAATTAATTAGATGGTCATCTTACCACGGTTGGTTGTGAGCAATATTCTTGAGAATTGATTGTCAAACTAGTAATGTATGGAACAACTCCTATTTTTTTCCCTTGCACTTTGAAACGCAAACCATCGTGTTCAGCAAAAAAGCGAATTGAAAATTCGTTATTGTCATATGGATATATTCTTGCATAGGTTTTTTCCGCCTGAAACAAATGTATGAAATAACAACAAAGCATATTAAGTTTGCGTTGAAACAAATGTATAAAAGAGATATTAGTGTTAAGGAATTATCTCCTTTATATTAGACAATCAAAACAGAAAGAATTACTTTAACTAAAAGTACGAGTATTTAAAGAATTAAACAACTTGAAGACTTGGTACTGAAACTAATAATGTTTATTTCTCAGTAATAAAAAGGCATAGTTGCTTGGGCTATCAATAGGACTAACTGGAAAATGTCTTACCAATTTAATACTGCCCTCGGAGTCTAACTTTATGTACACCGTTGTATATTTTGGAAATAATATAGAAATATGAACGTCATAGGCGTTTTCAAGTTCTGGAGGCTGATCCGACTCATATGATGCTGAGATTTCACTTGATTCCTTACACAGCCTCACTGAAAAATACGCTGATCCGACACTCGACCACAAAGCATTACACAGGGTAAAATTTAAAACTAAAGTTATAACCAAATTAACTTTTTTCTTCATTATATAACAATTTGATCAATTACTTATTTAATTTAAACACAACACTCAAAGATTTTGAATTGTCTACTCAAAGCTTGAACTGACGATGATTGACTTACATAGTGTGAAGGTTATGCAGGTCAGACCAGTATATCGTATATAAAAAGTGATATTTCAAACAAGTTTAACATATCCGTGATCAAGTTGAAGAAGCTGCTTATCGCGAGGATGACGTCACAATATACATAATATATGTAGTATGCATATACATAATGATGATTTCGTAAACAAATTCATATAATAATATTAATAATTTCAATGCCTGTCCGATTGGAAGTGATTTTTAAATGTTAATTATTATTGAAAATAGACATTTTTATGTATTTTCTGATTATTATTAAGCGATTTTTTATTTCAGATGTAAGGTAAGACAGCTAAATCTAACATACTTTGTTGTTATTTGTTTATGAATAAAACAAGCTGATAAGATAATTTTAATTATTTAGATATTTTAATCTACTTTAGGAACATTTAGGGGTGGTATTTACTTCTTTGATTTTTATTTATTTAGATTAACAAGAACGTAAAATCTTAAAAGGACATCGAACCCTGTCGTAATTTTTAGGTACAAAGATATATAAGGTTCAGGATAATAATGTCTGCATAGCTTAAATTCTTGTATTATTATCAGGGGAATATAATATATAATGTACATGTTAAACGTTAAAATATTTAATATTCAATAATTTTAATGTCTAGACGTTTTCTGAAATAAAAAATATTTATTAGACGTTAACAGTATACTAGTATGTATACAACAACTGTTTTACAATGTATCCAGACACTTCTTATTAAAATTATTGCTAAATAAAAAAATCTGCTTGAAATAATTTTTCGAGAAGAAAAACTTGATTACATTACTAGTATATCTGTGTTTATATAATGTCATGTTATCAAAATACATTTATATAATTTTAAAAACATTTTTCATATTGGTTTTCATCATCATGGTTTATTCATCACAAAAATTACAAAATAGAAAATAATTTATTAATTTACAAATTATTATGTTTATAATATCATGTTAAAACACTTACACTTTACATTGAATGGTACTAAACTCTTCTAATGGTAGAGATCACATTAATTAAGTAGGATTAATTATCACGGGTTATAATGTGCAGTCGTTTGGTTTTTAATCCAATATTGTAAGTATTTGGAAACATCTGTGAACACAACGTAAGCTTTTGAATCGCATACCGCCGCGTCTTTACGGGCCAATGCTGTCGAATTCCTTTTTTGTACCAAGCTCCTGAAATATTGGTATAATCATGAGGATAACTAATAGGCTTATGAAGCTTCTTATTGTTCACAAATACTAAAAAACCACCTCCACTATCCCCGTAGCAGGCACATGTTCCTAAAATGTGAATAATTAATTATTATATTTGACTAAGTAATGTTGAATGTTATATCATTCTCAAGGTACCATAACTGTAACCTGCATATAATTTCTTGCCTTCTAACGTTGTAGAATAAAAGACGGGTTCTTCTTTTATACATCTGCCATCATCAACTATGGGCATCAACCCTTCGTGGAGTTCGGATATTAGTTCATTGTTACGATCGAAACAGCAATAGACAACCTAAAATAATATTATAATTAACTATCATAACTCATTGATAATAAATTCGCTTTCTTTAAAATTTCTTGAAGTGTTCTAAACAAACACAATTTAAAGATTGAGTTTAATAAAACAGCCAATTTATGCCCACCATAAATGTCTATGTATAACTATTCAACTATACCAATCAGATTCACAATTGAATTCCAAACAGTTCTATGATCTACAAATAACCTTATGATAATATTCTTCATACCGTTCCCGTGAGCTCGTGTATACCTATTTGGTCATAGACGCCGTCAAACTACAAGCAGACTGGTTGGATGAAATTTTTGAACGTTGCTTGTGTCCGTGGTTTAAGCATATATCATTAACATGGGTCCTTTGATTATATTCATCGTAAATTATAGCTTTGAATACCTGAAACAAATGAAATGTTTTTGAATAGTTTTTTAAAGTTTCGGTAGATAGAATCCATTAACCCGAAAGAATTAGTTAGAATGACTAATTTATGTTAGATATTTAATAGTTATTATTAATATTACTTATGATATAATATTAACCTCTGTAGATTGTACATCTATATCGTTGGCGTGTAGCGTATACATATTTGCCGAGTACAACGCCAAGGCTTTCCGGAATGACTGTTTCACCCCTTATTGTGGCGCAGTGAGCAGTTATACAATTTGTTTATATCAATTATTTATTAGTATGTATATTGTTCTGTTTCCTGTTTGTATGTGAATGAAACAATTTTGATTAGATATAGCTACGTTTTGTTACAAAGATGTCAATTTTCTTGTAGACTATTAATCATAATGTACTTTAAAAATATAAATGGTAAAATTAAACGCTGTTAAAACATTCTGGGCAGCATTCTACTTGTAGAAGACTAAGAGATTCCTATTGATTATAGAGTTTAATGTAAGTATGACGTTTCCATACATACCTGTTAATACTAGATATTTGCTGCTGAGAGTGCCTCCGTAGATTTAAGAGAAGCCTTGCTGTATCTATAAGCAGAATGCCACGGTTAGTCACCATATATTGTTAGAGAGCTATTCACTATAGGTTAAGTGTACTTTTTATCTATTTTTCGTCGTCCACACAATTGATCAGGTGCATCAAAAAACTTTGTCTCTCTGTAGTATTTAAAGTAACATAAGTACGTCTGAAATAAAAAGTAACAAACTCATAATGCTGTCGTTCTTATACACTTGCATTATATGCATTTACTTACTCGATGAGGCTCATAGCAGATTTCGACATCATTTATTTTTAAACTAATGATGTAAGGAGCGTGGTGCGGTGGCTATTTCCCTTAAACTTTGAAATAAAACTATGTTATTTCCTTCAATATCATGTGAAAACATTATTGATTGTGTCATGTTCTATTGTAACCAATTCTACTCGGTTTACCTTAAAAAAACATAGTAAATGTGACATAATTATTTTTTCACATAAATAATATTAATATTACTATAAATTTCTCATAATAAAAGCAAACAAATTTCAATAATTCATGTTAAATACGCAAGTAATCTCATTAAATTGTAAATAGCATCATACCAGAATAATTTATTAGGGTAATAGATGTGATCAAAGCTTTAAATTTATTAAACATATTAAAATTGTTTTTGCTCAATAAAGATGGCTTTTACGTGATATATGTATATTATACATGTTAAATTATAAAGCCTTAATGCACTAAACATATATAAATTCCGAGATTTAATTTATAATTCTATTATAGATAATTAAGTACGAACTATTTCAGTTGTATGCTTATTTCCCAGCTTTAGCCAGGGTCTGCCTTACATGTCGTGAATAGTTTTGGCTAATTGTTTTTACGACCGGCCGCCTGCCTCACATAAACCCTCTTTGGGAATGCATTAATCAGTGATGTCTAAATACTCTTAGAAAGTACATATGCCTCGGAAAAATCACATTGCTACTTGCCAGGATCGAACCCGCGCCTTCATACATGAGAGGCGGGCCCTCTAACCACTAGGGCACGACGGACTTCGAAGTTGTATGCTTATTATTATTAGTTTAGTTTGTATTAAACTGTAATTATAAAAGTCATTATGTATTTCAATCTTGCTACAATAAATATTATCCAACGACTTTAAGTTTTAGAAGACAAACTGTCTTGTTTTGTTCCTGGATTTCAAACAATCTTCACTCTAAATTTCACTGAAATCGATCTTCTAGTTTTTGAATTAATTTCGTCTCAAGTAACCGTCGTCTCTTTTTTAGAGATTCATTCTTGTCTGAGCTAATGTTATTGGGCCATTTACGTTTTTCGTATTATAAATAGCGTGATTTACAATATTATACAAAAATAAATACACATTTAAATAATTAAAAAAAAAAACTCACTACTAATTACGTGTAATTACGTATACACGTACACGTATACACGTATACGTATTGAAGATGTCATTAAATTGAACAGATCCGGGTCCATCGTGTTGCAGGGAGAGGAGCTTCAACAGTGTCTGGGACTTGCGACCCAGGTGTAGGTTTAATGGGCCCATATCTAACTTGTGTTAAACGCTCTCCTTCAACGTCTTAGTTCCTCTCTCTACCTAAACAAATGAGAATGAACTTATTAGGGCTACTCTAAAAGTACATTCTAAGAATGAATTGATATAAGTTCCGAACAGGCCCTCGTCTTTTAGTAGGTAATTTCAGAGATTTAGCTGTTATACCTCTCGCTCCCACTACTACTACAAGTTTATAGGGAACTTATTCTTAGTTTGTCAATCCGTGAACAATATAACATAATTATTAAATATCTCACTAACGATACATAATTTTTAAAAATAAACGATGAGAAAAAGAAAATTACTTCAATTAAAATATCTTTAAAGAAATCAATAACTTAAAGCCTTCATTATTAATTTAAAAATACCTTTTTTTCATATTAGGTAAAACATTTGAAATTCCAAAAAGATCCCTGCACTTACTAAGAAGATGGTACTTTAAAAAGTTATACAAATGTATATTTGGAAAAATCTAACCAAAAATCAAAAACAAAAATATAATTTCAATCAGAAAACTCCAAGAATAAATGAAAAATGGTGACTAAATAGTCATTAACGTCTCTAAAATAAAAATGTAAAAGCTTTAAACGATAAACAAGATTAAATTCTTTCAGTTGAACGCGTTTATTTAGGTACAACCTTGATTAGACCCGCAGAATTTTTCTGAATAATAATTCTTTCTCCTAAAAATTCCCGTCGGGTATAAAGTTGAATCGCCCTCGTAATAGGGGTCTGTTGTCTTTGTTAACAACTGAGGTTATTTTTCTTTGGTGACCTTTACTAGCAGAGGTTGCGACAACGACACGATATTTTATAACATTCATAACATTAGTTTTGATCAATATTATACCAAAGAAATTTTATAGTATATTAAGGAAATAAATTTGCAAAGACATACTCATCTATGGTTACGTTCTTGTAAAGGGTATTTGTGTTTCAGCTTCGCTTGTGTTTTTCTGTTTTATCTAAATGCTTAGATTGTTCATACCTGAAAATTTAAATAAGAATTGACATTTATACCGTTAGTGATGTTTTATCATCTGAAACATTAAAAACAATGGGTTATATTTAATTTCATGTGTTATAGATTTTAATTTCGTCTTAACTAGAATCTTAATATTTAAAAGCCCTTACTTAACATCAGCATAGATCGAGTTGACCGCGACGCATACAAATTTCAGCCTTAAGTGACAACAATCTAATGGCAACAAATCCAAATCCGCTTGTGGCTCCCCCTCGCCGCCATCAGCTAACACAAACATCAATTTTTAGATACAGAACGTCTTTAAACGTGTTATGTTAATGTAATCAAAGATTCCCGCTAAGACGCGAATGAAGGAAAATGTTTTTTGTCTTAAAAACTTCCTGTTATTTTATTATTTAACTTACATTTAGACACCATTTTTTTATTCGTTTCCATTAGGATATAAAGTTATATTTAATTTAAAGATTATATTTAATGAGAATTCAGTACAAATTATTATATCACTTACTACTGATATGGCACCGCTCTCGTCTAGTTGTATTCTAACAGTCGGGACATCTTTTTAACAACTCACATTTAATAGTAGTTGACAGCGGGAGTAAGTATTGAATATGTTGTCCTTGCAGAAGTACTCCCGGTGCATCGAAATCGCATGAGCTGGTACATTTTTAACTCTAACCACATATGACGAGAGTATAATCAATATGAATATCCCTTTAATTATCATTTCACAACACTTATTTCACTTATTTAATAATTAACTAATAATTGTATCTTATAACATCGCTAGATACCCACTGCTGGTTTTAGGTTTACAACTGAATTGTCATTTTAAACATTTAATGTCATATATACTACCTACGTATTTATTATTTAATCTGTGTGAAACAAGTTATAAACTATACAGCTTGAATATACAGCTATATAATATTACCTGTAAGTATACAAGAAACTGCAGGAATATAAGAAAAATTACCATCAGTTGCCAACAGAGAATGTATTTATTTAATTATTTTTTTTAAGTCTGTTAGATTTTTTGATTAGAATTTTGAAGATTTAATTTAAGAAGTTTTATTAAACTATCCATTTACTCGAGGTCAATAGGCGACTAATTTTGAAGTCCAGTTTGATTGGAGAAGTTGTCGCAGCAATGCCGTATTCTAGAACCTAGAATAGATTGAAATCATTATATAAGTGCCCGTTCATTCCCAATCTGCTAAAGTTGTTCAAGGTCAAAGGTCAAGATAATTATTTTACACAAACTGCAACCCCAATTTGGAATAGATTCAAAGTATACTTCATTTTTAGAACTGCAAAAGAAGTGGTTCAAAATTGTTGTTATAAAGGAGCATATATTCAACAACAAGTTTCGTTAATATCGAGGGAAAGTAAAATATAAAGTATTTGTTTAAATATAACCAACTTTATCGCCTCCTACTACAAAAAATCATTTAACAACTGGTGTAAGCTGCACACTTCGAAATTTATGCCTTCGTCTCTGAGATGATCTTTTTCACTATCATCTTTTAAGACGAGGTCTATATCTTTCTTAAAAAATTCACTTTTTCGTAATGTTCCCTTTTATATATTCTTAATATAACATCAAGCGTGAAGGGTCAGATCTAGACAGGAATTATAATCTCCATAGGGACCTCCAACTTTCTACGATAGCTGCGGATTTCAAGATGATCAAAAAAGATTTTTTGAGACCATGATGGTACATCCCAATCCGTTAATAGTCAAAACATGTGACTATTCCCCACCTCCCAACTTCCCGTTAGGCCAGAGGAGTCTTAAGGACGTCCTCTTAGACCCTGACCGTAATATAACAACAGACAACACAGAGACAATTACACTAAACCACACCAACGCACAACGCCTTTTCAGGCAAAGTCGAGGTTCCATTTCATACAATTCGCTCCGGTGTCCCGCCGTCGGTGGTCGTCATACAATTTCATCATCCGATGCCATTCTAAACTTCAACGACGTCCCAAGTCGAGGTCCAGACTATTGGAGGTAAACTTGGGATGGGCATATACATTAATATTGGTTGGTCCCATTGGGCCACCCGGTGACGCTGTCAAAGCCATTAGAGATAAGACGAAACAAAAAAAAAAGATCTAGAGAACATTGTTTTACTACACCAAATATCGCTAAATACAAGCACCAGATGTCAGTCATTCTGCTAGTAAATTTGTTTCATAATTGAAGACTTTTAATATAACAAAATTCTACTTAATTACTATCTAAAATTATGGCCTTAAAGATACATTAGATACTGAACAATATATTGAACAAAGTATTAATATTTTTTTATGAACACTTATCGTTGGGAACGACTCTTCGGAATAATCGTTATACTTAAGTCAGTGAGTGTTTTTGTATACACCTGAGTATATGTTTGTATGTCTGTGGTATCGTAGCTCTCTACTCCAGCAGTTTAAGAATATTAGCTCTTTTCCAAAATGATGTCAGGCCAAATGTTATCATTATTCTGGATAGGTTAGTTTGACAGAATTTTTCGTTTTAAATTGATAGAATAAAAATTTTTCTCTTCAGTTAAATATTTTAGGATTAGAATGTCACGAAAATTATCATCAATTTTTAGTTAAATATTAAGAAATAATAGGATACGGCGGTAATGATTAACGTAATTATATAGGGTCCCTTAAAACTACTCCTGGGTCACAAGTCCCAGTAACTGTTGAAGCTCCTCTCCCTGCAAGGACCCGCACGGTAAATCCATTAAATGCTAAGAGGTTTTGTTCTCGTTTCGCCACTGCATATTTAATACTGGATTGAAGAAATTAAACAATACAATTATCTTAATTACAAGCCATCAATACATGTCTTTTTAACCTCTCAGACATCCAGACCTTTAACGTGATCTCACATTTTTATTTTATACCGGTGCTTGGAGGACATAAGTCGAAGATTTTGTAAAAACCGAACTTACAATTGGTAGTAAAGTGAATAGCACTCAATTATGAATTAAACCTATATAAATACTTAAAATAAGATCTCACTTTTATTACAACGTTGTTAGAAGTTGATGAATAAGCAACAATGTTATTATGAAATTGCTATTGTATTAATAAATATAAATGAAGTTGCTAAATATTTATAGTTTTGTGCTTAGTTCCCGTTTGAGTATATTAAATATGTGAAGTCTAGTTTGCCACCTCTCCCCGTGTCATTTCTCCTTTTCTCATATATTTTTTAAGTTGTGTCGTAATTTATAAATAACCCCTTACCCACATGCTGTCAGGATTATAACTGGAGCAAATATAATCTTCTACTTCATAGACTAGTTCTTATAAGTGTTAAGAAAGTTAAAGATTCTTTTTATTTTTTAAGCGCATTGATCTTACAAAGATTTATATTATGATACATCGGTCAATATATTTTATTCATTATTTATAAAATCTCAATATGACACCTTTTTATCTTCTCTCAATCTTTTTATATAAAAATACATATATAAAAGATATTTTAATCATTTGCGACTTAAATCAAATATAACGGTAGAATATAAGTAATAAAACAATATGTATTATATAAAAATCACAGTCGTTTATTAATAAATACTGGTAATTAAGATAGACAGAGAATTACCAAAAGACTTTAGCGTTATGAATGACACTATCAATATCTAATACCTAGAATGAAGATTGAGTAGATATGTACGCCTGTCTGATACACTCTGACAAAATTACGACCCACGTGCTATATGACTCAAATTAAGCAGCTTTAAGGAACTCTTGACACTACATCTGGTCAATAAATATCTCAGGAATACTTAATTATACTACATTTATATATATTTTCTTGTAAAACATAATGGAAATAAAAATTACTACAGTTACTCGAATACATAATACAGATTATAGAAAGTGCAATTTGAGATCACTCAAAATATAAATATAAGTTGTTAAAAAACTAGGGCTAAAATAGTGAGTGTTTATATGAGTACAATAAAACAAACACACATCACATAAAAACTTAATCTATAAAATAAAATATATTATCCTACAAACTGTAACACAGACAATTGACGGAAATATTGCTTTTTAATAATTTATTGCACTTTGATCTTTATAAGCATGGGTTTAAATATGCTTATTGAATGTATATTCTTAGACACGTACCATACAAGATAACATTAGGCCCGTATGATGTTTCAATTTGTTTTATTCAAAGTCGTAATTTTGACAGACCACAAAGAGTCACCACGATTTAATATCAAGCGTACTTACACGAATAAAAAAAGCCTAATAAGAGAATCATTAAATACAAATAATAAATATATAATATCATGTAACTTAAGATTAAGTCATGGGCCCGATCTAGAAAAAACTTATCCTAGGTTTACGTATAAACACTAAACCGACTGGGTCGACCCGCGTCCTATAAAGCTAGATATTTCGATAACTATCATTAATCTACTTTAACGTACAGGCGCCCACCGAACTGACACTCGTTTTGCAAATATTGAAAACTATGTCAGTCGCAACGACAAGCGAACTCAGGGCAGTGTTGCTAAAACCTGATTAAATGGAAATTAACTCATCACCAATTAAACGAGGAAGCGATGTTTGTGCACCTACTGCATCATCTTCAACTTGAACCTTAGCACTAGATAGGAGATAACTCTAATAAATACAAAGAAACCGCACAACGCGCCGACATCCACCCAGAAGTTAGCTTTGTCCATCGTCATCTCTTTAAGGAATAGGCTCGGGGATCTATAGTGACAATACGGCAAAGAGCAATGGAGCTTCTCTCTGCCGAAACCATACACCGATAACATAGCACCTTCGAAGCCGTATCTGACGTAACTCAAGTACGTCAGCCATTGAAGATAGCTGGGGATCGCGTTGAAGTTGACGAAGAATCCGGAAAATAGTACGACTGGAATAGTCGTGACCGGACCCAAATATACTCCGGTCTCAATCTTCATGGCGGCGCCGATCAATAAGCCAAGAGATTGAGCAACTAACGCCGTGAGGATGTTGATGGTCGTGAACATTAACACGCGGTCCGTCTGCATCGGCTGGCCCGTCATGAAATAAACTATGATCACGTACACGCCGCTGAACACGATCTGGAATATAGAAATACGACTTATCAATATCTCATTTCTTCTTCTTCTACCTAGCAATTTCCCAGCTATAGCCATTGTCTACCTTACATGTTATGAACAGTTTTGGCTATTTATTTTTACGACCGGCCGCCTGCCTGACATCAACCCTCTTTGGAAAACAACATTAATTAGTGACGTCTAAATACTCTTAGAAAGTACATATGACTCAGAAAAATCACATTTTTGAGCCAGGATCAAACCCGCGCCCTCGAGCATGAGAGGACGGCCTCTTAACCACTAGGCCACCACTGAATACTACTATACTATCAATATCTCATATCATATAACAAAAATTTTTTTTGGATACTGGGAATGAATATTAAAATAATTGTATATATTAGTCAGAGCTAGGTTTAAAAGTAGGAAGTTATTTCATTTATAAATTATTAATAAATCAAGTACATCTAATTTAAATTTAAGATTAAGTTTTTTTATGTGAATAATAAATTATGCTGATGTGTTATATTTTAAATTTAAATCAACATTTTATCGACGCAAAGCAGATAAAAGTTTTTTTTTAATAATTACCTGAAACGGTAAATCTGCTATAGTCTTAGCGAAGTAGAAAGCTTTTAGTGAGTACCAGTAGTTTAAATGCTCCCTCACAAACACACTCATCTCAGTTGGGACTGAAACATAAGAAAAATGAAAATAAATATTATGTTTGTGGATTAAAGTGGCCCATTGGCATCTTGTTTCTTAAGGGAAAAATATCTTTACCAATGATTGATTTAAAATAAAGAATAACATAATAATTGTTGTAATTCTTTTCTTAGGAGTAGAAACAAACAAGATTTTTAACTTTTCTCAGGAAAAACGCTATTTGTTACATAAAACTTTATAGTTTTTTAAGCATGTTAAAATGTCATCTAGATCTGACCAAAATATTATCCTTTACCAACAAAAATTATGCAAATAAAAATATTAAACCAGACAAATTACACCAATGTGAAACAAATCCAAAAACAAACAGACTTATCAGAATTGTCAAATAAAGGTAATTCCCTGTTTTGTATGACGAATATTTTGTGCATTTGCAAAATATGCGAAACAAAAGAAAACTCATATTTATTGAAAATCCATTCACAGGACTCGAACCTGCAATATATCTCAAATGTTAAAAATATAATCATGCAAAATTATATCTTAATGACGGTATACATACATGTTAAAATAGTGGGCATCATAGCCGTGAACATTGTGAACATCACAGTGAAGAATATACATCCAGCGTTACTCATCACCTTCGCGGCGTCTTGACCGATATCATAATACAAGAACCCGATCAACAGACCCACGACTGTATGCGAACATAGCCTTAAATGAGTCAGCATGGGATCTCGTAATATACTCCTGAACGTCCGTTTCAATAAGATCCAAAATTGCTTCCACCCTGACGTAGGGAAGCCCGTGTTCTGAGGTTTCTTAGTGAAACTTTCACTGGAGTCCAGGAGTGAGGTGGTGCAAGTGACAGGAGCCAGGTTGGTTGAGTTCGGTAAGGCGTTCTGTTTCTCTGTATTCAGAGTCGGCTCTGACATATCTATCACAGTGCAGGTTGGTTTATCTGTAAGAATACAATGGAAAAACATTAATAAGATGTTTTGGAATATATATTAATAAAAATATATTTAAAACTATAAAAACTATAATCCAATGTGATTTTATAAAATATATATTCTATTGAAAATGGAAAAACTGATTCTTCTGTGAGTTTTGAAAATTATGGCAAACTTTAAATTTTTTTACAAAAAACAGTGCATAATGTACCACAAATTATTTTTTTATTTATTTGAGGATCCCCAACAAAAGATACACAGTATACAATTTTAGACTAATCAATACTAACTATTACAGAATTTTGTGCTTTTTCAAGTACAGGAGACCACAGCTTGCTAATTAAATATGACTAAGCAAAACAATATGAACTTAAAGTTAAAGTTATAGTATAACAACAAAATACTTTAAATTACTCGCTTATAATGTAATCATCGTTTTTATACATAGTATCAGATATTGTTTCACAGTTACCATTATTGTAAATAATGTTTAATTTAAATACCGATAACTATCTCCAAGGCTTCTTTCTTGACGTTGTTTTTCGTCTGGTTGTTGTAATTACAGTTCTGTGGTACTGATGATGATGAAGACGACGTCGATGACTGTCCGCGGCCACAGTTTCCTTTGTTAACAGCCATCACCAGTTTGTGGACCCAGTCTCCATGCTCGCCAGTTGCTACTTCCATCACTGAAACACAGTTTTACATTATTGGCCCTACTTGAATAAACAGATAATGGAGTATAAAAATTAATCCTACTTCCTACTAATATTATAATTGCGACAGTTTGTGAGTCTGTGTATGTTTGTTACTTCTTCACGCTCAAACGGCTGAACCGATTTGGATAAAATTTTGTATACAGGAAGCTGACGTCCAGGAATAACATATAGGCTACTTTACATCCCAAATTCCGGAAATATGAGGGTAACACCGTGGGGCGCAGCTAGTGCAACATATTCAAAAGCAGAAAATTCCAAAATACTCGAGAACTCACCATAATCAGCTGGGTTGTGATAACTGGGACAATGTAGACTCATGGACGATAAAAATGGCACTAAACCTCTGACGGACCCTTGATATATACACTGGCCTTCAGCTAACGTATATAAGTAATCAAACATTTCGAACAGCCTGGCGGACGGTTGATGGATGGTGCAAATAATCGTTCTGCCTCCTCTGGCCAAGGACTTCAATAACGATATACATTGAAAACACGAAGAGCTGTCCAGTCCAGATGTAGGCTCATCGAAAAACATCACAGGTGGATTATTCACTAATTCTAATGCTATAGATAATCGCTTCTTCTGACCACCGGACAGATTTATAGTTCTTGTATCACCAGCTTCCACGAGACTCAACATCTCTAATATTTCATCGATGACTATCTTTTTAGCATTTATAGTCATATCTTTACCGAGTTTCAGATTCGCAGAGACGTACATAGCTTCTCTGACTGTGAGATGCGGAAGGAGACAGTCGTCCTGCATTATATAACAGGACAATTTCCTAAAACGTCGCAGGTTTCTCTCCTTTCCATTTATAAGAATTGAGCCACTTACATTTGAAGTCCTGGAACATTAGAACATTCAGTTGCAATTAAGAATTCATTAAGTCATTGAATTTATTGTTGTGACATTTATATCTAAATAATAACATTCCACTTATAAGTGGATAGTACGACTAAGACTAATGTAGATTAAGTAAACAGACAAGTGTCTCGTTAAACGAAGGTTACGAAGTCCACAAACGTGTTTGCAAAAAACTTATTACAATAATATAGTTTTCGTTGGCTATATTCCAAGTATCTTTCATAAAAAAGATATAATCTGTTTTCACTTTTCTAGTGTAGTAACCATTGTTGTCAAAGACTATTTAGAGATAATTATTTCGTTTCCATGACCTATTTAATAACAGTTATTACAATGAAAAAATTGTGAACTAGCTTAGAAATAAAAAATATAATAGTTTTTGAATAAAACTCACTTATATCCTGCTAGAATGTTCATCAGCGTACTTTTGCCAGCCCCCGAAGGTCCCATGATCGCTGTCAATTCGCTCGAACGGAAGGTCCCATTGATGCCTTTTAGGAGTGCTTTATAGCCTCTCTTTCTTCCTTCGCTGACTGAATATGACAGGTCCAGGAATTCTATGTCTACTGGAGGTCGTTTCGGTAGATGCGTCAGAGAAGCCATAGGCTTCTTCTGATCGCCTTCACTGTTAGGCACTTTTGGAACCAAACCAGTCATTGCTCCCGCACCACCGTTACAAAGATTCATCTGTGAGCCACTGAAAGGAGAATAACAAAAAGATATATAAACGCCCCTATAGAAAATAATTACGATTTGTTTACAAAAAAACATTACAGATTTCAATCACACAATAATAAATCAAAGAGTTTTATTATCTACCCCTTTTTAATTTTCATGATACATTAGCTAAATTTCATTATTTGACTTTAAAAATATGTACATATATATGACTTTTCTTCTTTATTTACAAATGTAAATGATGAATATATGTAACAAATTCATTTCTTCGTGGATTACGGCTACAGTTATTAAGTGTTTCTATATTTTGTTGAAGCAATTTTAGTTACGTAAGCCCAAGTTCATGGTCGAGAGTTGGAACGTGATGTTTGTATTGTTTCCGTACTGAGGAGCTCTACACGTTACAGAATCTTAAACCTGAGTAATGTACGGTCACGACAAATACCTTGTTACAAGAATCTTATTAACATTTTCATGAACACGAAGGGTCATATACAGGGTGACTGGTGAATTACTATCAATATTTAAGGAGAATACTCGGTACATGATTCTCATTCGAATTATGTAAAAAAAATAGGCACTTAATTTTTGACAAAATTTCCGTATAAATAAGTAAAGTGTTGACACGTTCCAAGTGTTCAAGTGTGGACGCGTGCGGCGGCGTGCTGATACAACACCACGTCACGACACGCGTATGTGTGAGTGTCAGTGTATACCTAATCTGTAGGGTGTTCACACGATGCGTAATTAATTACATAACTTTTGGTTGACTTTACTTAGAAGTTTATTAATATTTATGTCATATTAATTTTTATTTTGTCATATATGATCGTCAAATATCACGTCCTCAAATATCGATAGTAATTCACCAGTCACCCTGTATATTTAGATACCGATCTTATAATATTTCTTTCAAAATATGATTATTCATTGAATAACTAGAAAGTCTTATAATAATTATTATTATTAACGATTATATCAAATTTTTAATAACTAAGTCTATCCTGTATTTTATTTATTTATTTATTTTATTATTATTATTTAAAAAAAAACTATATTCCCGACGTTTCAGTTACTTTTCAGCAACTCTTCAGTAGTTTTTTAAAATAATAAAATACGCCTAGTAATCCTAATAACATTATTTCCATTTAAATGAAGACTTGCGAAAGTTTTAGGTCTCATTATGAATCTTACCTAATTAAACATATATGTATTTAAAATACATATATTGTTAAACACTTGGGTCTAAAATATTTTCCGAGTATAATGAGTACAAATATCTTTTATCCAAATACAGATTCCGATTATAGGTAATTAACATTTGTTAAATACAAAATAAAATAATAGCATTTTAACAATTTTTTTTTTACACGAGTTGGAAATATGTACATGCAGTTATAGTAAAAGATTTATGCTGTTCTAAATAACGTGTTTGCCGTCTTGAATAAAATATTTGAAACTATGCCAAGTTGATTAAACGAATATAAATTAGGGCGAATTTATACAAAAAAATATATGTCTTCGTCAAACGCATTCATTGATAGGAGATGTGAATTAAACCATTATTACAAATATCATGGGTTATCAAAATTATAAAGTGTATATAGTATATACATATATAATATTATCATTTGTATTATAAAAATGAATTGCTAAAATTGTTTCTAAGCGCGAATCTCGAGAGCAGCTGAACTAAAATCAATTTCTTTTTTTATGTACCTTGATGTAGAATAGTCGTTCTTAAAGAATTCAAAAAATTACCAGAAAATCTCTACACTCCCATACAACCACCCGTAATCGAATTTAAAAGTGAATTTGTACTTTAATACCTTGCCTTAAAGTTCAAGTGATAGTGGAGGATATTCATGAAAGGAAAAAAAAGTAAGTGACGTTAGTATCGTATAATTATTGACGTCAATACTTGTCAAAATTTGACTGTTAAAAATTTAGATGTTTTTCAATATTTATTCTTGACAAAAGTAAAACATGACTTATTAATTTTATCTTTTCTGTCATATTACCTAACCTTTATCTCGAATTGCAGAATAAGTATTAAAAAAATAACAAAAATTTAACAATTGACTGTTGGAGTCAGCATTTTATAAAATTGATTCCGACGAAAACGCGGACAAAAACCATTACATTGATGTATTGTAAAAATATGTTTCTTTTGATTATAGAAGAAATAGATATTTGAAATTTCTATTTAATATAATACAAGTAACTCCCGAATGTCCTCATGTCTGATGAAAAGTTTTTTTGTCAACCCTGAGTTATAATGCGACATCGATATAAAATCAATGATGATTTATTTATTTATTTCAATAGGAGACCAACGTTGTATACAATTTTCGGTAATCTTGAAAATAAAATGCAACAAAGTGCACGCCACTTAAAATGTTATTCACCATTCATAGGAACAGAAAATAATAAAATTAAAGATTCACTGTATATAACTAAAACATAACACATAGAAACACTTTGTGTTCATGAAACGTAAATAAAAGGATTTAAAATATACACACTTAAATTGAATGGCAAATTAAGAATTAAGTGAATTTAACGATTTAAAGGAAAACCTATCCATTACTTAATATTTAACGATAAAATTAGCTTGAGCATGTAATCAAGTAACCAAACATACTAAACGTCATTTTGACAAGAATTGATATTCTTACACGTCTAGACAAGAACAAGGAAACTACATACTTTTAAAATAAAAACGGCTACAATTATGTTGATAGATTTGGGAAATAGGGTCCACAGACAGAAATACACACAGACATCGATGTCAAACTTAGAACACCACTCTTCTTCGGGGGTTTACAAATAACAAAAAGATATCACTCACAACAATTAATAAGAATAAAATATAAAATTAACGAAATATCTTAAGCAGAACATTCTAAATGGTTTACCTTAAGATATATTAAGAATGGAAATGAGCTTAAGAATTACGAAATACTGATACCTATTAAACACAAAACATGTTTAAACCTAAGACTTAAGTTCTCGAATAACAGAGGCTAGCATGGATTGAGTTGTAGTTGTAAGTAAAATAATTCAAATATATTTTTTATTTTAAAGTATGTGTATAATATAATTTACATCCCTTACTAATTGTACATTTTAAATTTGAGTACATCACTAAATTTTGTTTTTTAAATCGCTACTATAGCGTTATAGCGTATACTCGTATGCAGGTGAAACTGAATTAATTTTTTAATTAATACACAGATGGCGCTGTTCACACTAGCAACAATATATACTTTATTAATAATTTGCTTTTTACAACAATACAATAAGTATTTTAAAAAATCTTCTTTATATATTACGTTAAGAAACAGCGTGTTTAGAAATAAAATGAATTTCCTTATATATAGAATTTCTTTCATGACATAATAGTGAATAGCCCGAAGTTGTGTAACTTTGTCAATGGTTGAGATTATTAAGCGTTCTAGTTACAAGTAGGTGACCCAAGCGGACCGCGTTAAATGATATCTGGGACGTTCTGGAGCTATGAGAAAGTTGGATAGATCTACTCCATCTAAATTATAAGCCCTCAAAAGGAACTTGAGAAGAGAATCAGAATGAAGATGATCAAATACATAGTTTCAATTAAAACTAATTTGTATAAGTGTCCATCTTAGAGTATTATAATAATCAGTAATTTTAATGTGTTTTGTAAAGGCTTTCACTAAAATTTTGGACTAAATGCTGTATCTCAAAACTATATTAATATTTTACTAAAATATATATTTTTTAATTTATTGTATATTTAATGTTTTATTATAGATATTTAATAATATTTATATTAAAATAATGAGATCTAAGATTTTCGCGAGAATTCATTTAAATGAAAGTAATATTTTTCGGATATATTACTACATTTTTATTTTTGATAAAAACTACATACTCCCGACGTTTCGGTTACTTTACAGCAACGGTGACCAAATTTCATTTAATTTTTTATTAACGTATTATATGTTTTTATATACCTTAGTCTGTACTCTGAATATTCTGCAATTTTTCTCGTGTTCTGATATCAATAAAAAAAATCCTTTAAACTTTGTCAGAGGAAACATAAACATGTTTTATGATATAATATTTTACGAAGAAACTTAATATATTCAGTAGCACTATATATAAAGTTTTTAGTAACTAAAATTTCATAATAGTTTTAAGTAACCGTCTAAGATTTCGTTTCAAAAACATTTTTGTAGTTTTATCAGAAGTTAATGTATCTATATGGTATATATTTTTTCTTTAACTCCAAAAACTTATTTATGTCTTATCAAATATTTAAAATCATTTAAATACCATGTCATTGTTATTTTAATTTCTATAAATTATTAATGATTTTAAAACCGATTACATTAGTCTTGAACATTGTTTTGGAAATCATCGGCATTCAATTCAGAAGTTTACAAATAAAGTCTGTAATTTGAATTGACGTCGTTCTATAAACAAAACAATATTACAATAATGTGATAAGCATGTTTAAATTATATAAAACTTATCAAATTCACAGAAAGTGAAACGAAATTTTACCTAAAACGATTAGGTTTTCCCTAGCCTAAAATATAACATGTAATAGAATTGAAAAATAAAGAGGAAACGGAATCGAATTGGAACATTATAAACTTGAATTTTAATGGAGAAAATCTTCATAAAACAAGAATAATAATAGTTCTCTGACGTACAAAATGAAAATGTTACCGTTCTATAACGGGGTACCGAATACAAACAAATATGCAGTTTTTTTATGTAACATTGATTTATTGAAGAGTTGAGTTATATTTCATGTTTTGAGCGTAATGCATACTGTATTCAAAATATCTATGATTTCAATATAAAGTTTACATATCATCAGCCTATCAGAGCCCACTGCTAAGCAAAGGCCTCATCTCACAGGAAGACGGTTTGACTATTAATCGCTCAAGACGGGTTGGTGATTTCAAACTTAGAATTTTAAATTATAAGTACTGGATACTTTTTAAAAGTATATATGACTCGGAAAAACTACATTGATAGTTGCCAGGTTTCGAACCCCTTCCCTCATGCGCGAGATGCGGGCTTTTAACCTCTAGGCCACCACAACAACATAAAGTTTAAGGGATGTTGAGTGTGGATAATTAAGGATATTCTTGGTGTAAAATGTTGTATACTAACGCTGACAACTGTCCATTATTGAGCTGATCCGGAGTCTTAACTTGAGTGAACATCACTTTTTCGCTGATCTCACCACGGCTTCCTCGCCCCATCAGCGGCAAGTGTATCTGTGTACCCTTGGACTCCATCTTCTTGCTAGGCGTCATCGCTGTGTGACCATCCTGATGGAAACCCTGAAACAATTTACCAATTCATCACTAAAACTTATTATTGCCAGTACAATGATTTTGGCTGTACAACTCACGTGAGTGAGACGGTCTGCTAGGAGATCGTAGTCGGGACGGCAGTAATAACTGAGTATATGCTAAACTCCCGAGGAGTTTTATCTGAGCGATTTTGTTTTTAATTACGCTTTATTCATATTGTGTAGCCTTAAAAATGCATGTAAACATTTATAGATATATATTAAAATAGAAATGTATGTAAAACAAAAGGGTGAGTTTTGCATGAAGCGTTTGAAAGAATGTGTTTTGTTTTGTAACTTTTCAAAATTAAAACAAGCCTACGCGCTCGTGTGGGCGTTGCTGACGTCACGACTATTGTACACCCCCAGCCGTCTGTGAAGGCTTCTAGGGCTTTCCATTGGAGATGTAAGTTATATCTATATAGCTTTAGACATTGCAACAAATGTTACAAATCATCTAAGTGTTAACTACAATACAATAGTTTTTAATCCTTTAAAAGATTGACGTACGTTAAGAGTTGTGTATTGTTATGAAAGTTACTTACAAATCTTAAAATTGGTTAAGTATGAATAGATTAAAATAATCAAAACTGTTTGTTGGCTTAATTCGTAACATAAAATTTGTCCGACATATTAAATGTCTCAATCTAATGAAAATATTCTCTTATTTGGTTAGACGTTTGAATGATTTGAGTGTAGGAACGGAATACAATTCTGTGACTTATATTTTAAACGATTCTTGCTTTTTTCATTTCACTTAATTTTAAAATAAAATAAATATTAAGTATTATTATGTTTCTCATTATTTCAATTGTTCGACTTACTTTTATATAGAATTTTACAATCATTACAGATTACAATGACACTCAAACACTATGCCAACTTTCATTTACTTGTTAATAGGCCATGCGATAGTTAAATTGATTGAAGAATAATAAATATTGATATCATTTAAATAGGTATAGTTCATCGTTTAATTTAGGAAATATGATTAAAAAACATGTTACATATACCTCTACTTCTGATGTATTTTAGCAGTTATCTTTATTTTATTACGAGACTAAACATGAAACAAAATATATTATTATACATTATTGAAACAGCAATTTAGTTTTAGCCAAATCACAGAAACGATTGTCGGAAGAGTTCTAAATAGAATTTCTTGCAGGAAATATCGGGAACAGATTTAAAAATTATTATTATTACAAGAAATAAATGTATGCGGTTGCACATAAATATCTTATTACTATGTATTTCTACATAATAAATATTTTATCATTAATTGCACAAGATACAAGTAGATCTGAGGACTGTTAGGAAATCAGATGTCTCAACATTTTGTTCTTTGTGATATATTATTATTCATTTATTTTATACGACTATTTTTTAATTTAAAAAATTCTATTGTATTTAATATTCCCAAAAAATATATATGCAAATGATTTTGATATATTCCAAACATTATTTTTAAAATAGAATTACGAACCAAAAACAGAAATCAGAACTTATTTTTAGTATAGAATTTGATCGTGACAATCAAAACAGGTTTCTTTAATATATTTTTTATTTTATTTATATAACAAAATTCAACTTATGTTGATATTTATCTGTAAGTATATCCTAAAGCTGCAACAAAGGGGACTGCAATCGTATAAAACTAAATGACTCGAAGTTTACCGTTCGATACAATGACCTCTACAGAGTTGACCGTGAGATTAAAATTGGGTTATATCTTCAAAATAAAATCATATGAGAGATTACAATACGAAAAAAAGATTTTTTTACTAAAATTCATAAAAAATCACATAATTTTACTCAAATATCCCTAACTTGTCATGATTGTCGCCCTGCAAGCTTAAATAAATTGAGAATGTTCGAGTTTAACACCACTGATTATAATTTGAATAATTTCAATGATAACTATCTATTTAAATATATAGATAACTCAAAACATTTCAAGGACCATGTCACCAATTAAAGAACGTCATTCTATATATTTATTGCATAATTTTAGTAGCAACAACCCGCGTCTTCTTCCGAAAAAAATATTGTAAATGCACGTTGTATGATTACAAGATCGTAAACGTCTTGATATAATTAGTTGAATTTCTAGAATTTATACTGTAAAATACTGGGTTTTTGTGGTGATAAATGATGTCAACAAATTACTACATGGACTCGTGCAGAATCAGGGTTGTCAAATAACAAGAGTTGAAGTAACTCCACGATAAAATAAAGCATATAGACAAAGAAATAATTTTTAACAGATCCAAACCCTGTTTATCATTTACTCAGTCTATTAAACTTTCATCATAATATGGTCATTGATTTAAAATGACAACATTTTTAATAATAATTTTGCACTTAACCATATATTTATAACTAAATAGAACTACATATGTAATAAAAAAAATCCACAACATAAATAATAAATTCTTTACTAGATGTCACATTTTTTACATTTATCACCATGTTTATTGTCACTGTCAATAAAAATCATTTCGAAATGACATTTGTATTAATCTATAAATTAAAATTACACATATATCCATTAAATATTCATGTACTTTTAAAATCAATATTAAAAAGGATATAAGAAACAGAAATTTATTAAAACACAGAGTTCATTAACACGACCCGCTTCCTTCTACCAACGAACCGTGTTATCAAGGTGCAAAACACAAGAATTTTTTAAAATACTACATAAAGAATATATTGAAGGAACTAATAGTAATAAATGAGAACAATAATAATGTATCGAATTCCTATAATGTGTAAGATTCATACCTGCACCAAAGTCCCGCTTATATTCGCCAGCATCTCCTCTACTGGACCTCGAATGTTCTAACACTGAATCTGATAGACAAAATAGTCTGATAAATCAAGTCGACGGTCTATATCTGTCTAGCAACGAGTAGCAACTAAAGTCGAATCCCATAGAAATAACACCAAGACATAAAGAGAATAAAGAGACTTGAAAATGCATGAAAATGTGTCTTGAAATACCAAAATGGAAGGTTTAATAAAGCTTGGTGAAAACATAAACGAATCTTTTAACATGCACCCCAGAATAATTCCATAAGTTACAAAGAAGCTCGTATATAAAACATTTTTTTCATTAAATAAGGAAAAGTATGTCGTTGACTAGAATAGATGTACTCGACAACTCGTTACCGAGAAAAATTGTATGAATTTTTCAATTTAAAACTAACGTATGCACTTACATGAAATAAGAATATTCAAATTTCAAAGATAAATGTATATATACCTCTTAATATAAACACAATATAATTGAACTAAAATTTTATAAATATATCAAGAACATTTTAAATGACTGTAAATCACTGCGGGATCAGACAACACTGAATTAAAATTATCTGAAAAGTATTAACGATGTCGTCAGAGGTGGTGGCAACAAATTATCTCATTAATCGTATGACCGAAGTACAGTCAAGACGACAAATCATTAAATTTGTACCATATATTATATAAAAACATCTATTATACTGTAAATACTAATTATTTAGGAACATTCTGTTATACTGTGATGTATTCATGCTATCGTGATTAACTCTGTCCTAGATTTACTAAAACATCTAACTCATAAACTAGGTTAGGTCGTAGTCTTGATTTTGAATTGTAATCTTTCGTGATTTTACGTACAAATTATATTTGGTTCTATACATAATAAAACTTTTTAGTTGATCGCTTTCAAGTATAAAAATAATTATGCATAGTTTTAACAATAATAACGGATTTCAAAGAGAAATAGTCTCATTAGCTAGCAATTCATCGTAATATTTATTAGAGCCCTGTATGTTATAATTTCGTATGATGAAGATGCTTTCAAAGAAAATCCCCATTTGACTAAGTATGTTTGGCTAGCAATATATGTATGTATGATTCCTCGAGCATCTATACGAAATAAATATACGAATCTCAATATAAGTAAAAAATCAATATTTTTTTATATACATTTGACCGTAACAATATGTTTTTTGTTAACAATTATAACAATGTAACAAAGACTGTACAGATTTGATATCACAGTAATACATATTCTCCTTATAATCCTGATAAAAATGTTACAAAATTATTATCATCAATAATTAATCTGTTCTAATGATAATGACTTTTACAGCTGGGTTTTTGACACGTATCAATTGATTTAAATGTTATTTAAAGTATTGAACTGACATAATATTTCTTATATATATAAAAGGTTAATTATGAGATACTTCGCAAAACAGAAAAACATTTTTGTATTATTTAATTACTTATATAGTGTCTAGAATTATCTAGAACCTTTGTCATTTTTTTTATATAAATACAGTGTTTCAAATGTGTTTTGTTTGTTATACAATAATTTCATTTGTTAATAAAACTTGTCACCTGAATACGTTGTGAAAACATAAGGGTTATGTTTTAATTTATTAATAGATGACTGGCTTTTAAATATTCACTACTAACTTCAAAACGAGGATTATGCAATGAATTTTATGTGTTTTTTAATATCAAAACAAAGTCACAAAACATAAATAAATAATACGATATAATTAAGGATAAAATATTTTTGGATAATGGATAAAGTAGTCACTAATAAAAAAATACTACAAAATTATTGTAGTATATATTACTGAAAATTATACCTATCAAATTAAACTTTGAATTCAAAACTAATAAACTAATTAGAAGTTTAGATCGGAACAAAGTTTTATTAGAATTATAATATCAAAATTATAATAATTAGTCTAGGAAATATTATAATACAATTACTCTACTGACAATTTTAATGCTGAAATTTTGTCGTTTATAAATACATCGAAATATAAATATATATTTATTATTTACACTTTCACTGTCTGCATTTCTTATCATAATCTGTCTAGTAATAAATACTTGAAATAAGCCAACCATAATAATAAACAGCTACTTAATTTATAATACAATTAAGTATTAAGTAAGGATAAAAAAAGTCAACTAAAAGTCAAATAAAAT